TCACCAGGCTCCGATGGCCCAGCCACGTGTTAGGCATGTCAGCCCACCGACTCCCGCGACGTGCATTGTTTGTGCACCGGATGTGTATATGGAAGAAGTGGAGAGGTAGCCAAGCGATGACTTGGTCGAGAGGAATGAACGCCCTCACTTCAGAGCTGGCCTCGGTTAGAGCGTCTCGGCTCCCTGGTTGGGGTTCGAAAGACGATGAACACCTTTGGCTGGATACACTTGCTGATATGGCTAGGAGCCGACCTCAGTGGCGTTCGTGCTGAGTTTCTTTGTCCCACCCCATCCTTCTTAACCTCCTCCTCCAACCGTGATCTCATTATTTAGCGTTTCATAATTTGCATAGTAAATTGTTTTTTTACTGCTGCATAGTAGCCGACTTGTAGCTTACCGGAACGATGCCCATCCGTTATCGGTAGCTCCGCTGGCTTGCACCTTTTGCATTTTATTCCCTTTTTTCTTTTAGGTATTGCGGCACAGTAGCTAACGTGTATAGTGTGTGTGTGTGTGTAGTGCAGTGGTCTGATGATTAATTTCATTCACTGCATCCTATCGGTATCATCACTAAGAAATGTCTTTTTCGTCGTTATCCGAATCAAGTATGGGTGGTTGTAAGCCGGTTGTTCTTCACGAAGCTCATTCCATACTTCATCCAGTCGGAATCTCATTCATTTTCGCCACTGGCAGTGTAGTACACATGTCATAGCGTTCTGAGTATTCCTTTTTATACCTTGCCAAGCAGAAATTCTAGCACTTTTTCCGTGCTACTTCTCGTTGTACCCAACTGACGCAATGTAAACAAATCACGCGATTTCTTTCGTGCTAACAGGAGTAAAGCCTATGCACATGCTCACCAAATTGTGTGTGTGCACCCACTCTCTTCTCAGTGCTCCATCAAACTATGTTGACTCGTCTACTGCAGACGCGAATGGCAGCTCGCACTACCGTGAACGCCACTTGCTTTTTTATGGCTCATACACAATCCCTTAAGCACAAACAATCCTTTCCTTATTACTTGCCTATTGCCCACTTATCCGTTAACCACTCGTTAGCCAGCTTTACTGCCATTGGTCTATGTGAGCACCCAGTGGAATCGGTTTGTTTAGTCTTAATGTTAACATCTGCCAGTTTTAGTCTTCTCACTACCTTATTTAAAATGCTAAAGAGATTTAATTATTTCAACTATTTTTTCACTGTTGGCAGATTTTCGGACCGGTAATGCAAATCACCAAATTCCAGTCAATGGACGAAGTAATTCAACGCGCGAACTTTTCTGAGTACGGGTTGGCAGCAGGCATAGTCACTCGAGATTTGGAGAGGGCGATGCACGCGATGCAAAGACTTCGAGCTGGAACTGTATGGTTGGTTGCCTGCGTATCGCAAGTTGTTTTTTTTTCTTTGGCTATAGTGGCTTTTAGCTTTCATCACACAGCAAACAAACTGCAGTTCAGTCTCAGTTTGTCAACTTTGATTCATGCATCAAAATTCATTGGGTCTACTTACTTTGACACACATCGTCAAAATAATACTAATGGCATTACTAATAAATTTAATAACGGCAATATTACAACAGTAACCAGCACGAATACAAATCATCAGACGGGATAATCAAAGATCCCAGGTTGAATAAAGAATGCTGGAGCTCCACTGGCTCTTTGATCACATCATGTCCTACCGTTGTTGTCACGGTTCACGAGGACCCCTTTCGTAAACTGGACAAGCACCATCCCTGCTTAGCGTTCTGGTGTGTTTCTTCCTGTCGTTGTCATCGACTGGCTACTTCGGAGCGATCGTCTTGCGCGCATGCGGAGCACTTAACTGATCCAACGCCGACGGCCCGAGTTAAATAGAAACTGCGATGTGACAGGAAAGAGTCTGATACCAAGTACAATCTAAATATATATTTTCAGCAGACAGGTTTGCAGGTACATTCGTTGAAGAGTAGAACCAAGTGTGATCAGCTAGGCAGAGGCCACACTTGGCACAACCCCAGTGGTCAGGACATCACCCGCATCCGTATGTAGGGTGAACCTTGATGGTGTGCATTTTTGGTTATGTTAGAATGGCACGCATCATACGATTTCCCACTTAGTAAAGTGCCTCTTTTTTCTATATTCACCAAGGACAAGGAAAGGCAGTCAAAATAGACATGGTCCAATGCGAAAACATTCCATGAAGGCGCAAAGAGCCAATCGTTCTTCATCCCGCAACGTGTGCTGAGGGTGTGATTGCGTTTTTGCACTTTATTCACCGGCTCATCGGTACTCGATGTCCACTCGGAGGGTAGTACTTACACACCGCTTCATAGGGCACTTGGAATATACAGCATCGATTAACATGCCTTAAAATCTTTGTATATGAACATCATAAAATGCTAGGGAGTCCCGACTAGTTGGAAGACATAATTCAGAAATATCCCGCCAACTTAAATCCGAGGGCCAGATGCGAGTTTCTTGTACACGTGACCGCGTTCCAAGATGACCAGGGGCAGTTGAAGGACCGGAAGGTCTCCACGAGTTTCACGGCCATTTACCATGGCATTTCAAACGAAAGCATTGACGCAATATGTGTCCTACTTGACAATCTCTTGGTTCCATGCACAGTTCAGCCGGTCTCCCAAAGCGACCACCATGTCAGTCACAATTAAATTTTAGCTCTGACGCATGACCACATCTGGCTTACAGTGCTCCAAACTCGTGGAGCTAATTAACTCAATGAGGTTGCGAAATCCATGGAGCCGCACAAGTTTGTCCAACCGATTCAACTTCGATTATGACGAAGGCCCCGAGCATTATGTGTGGTACTGCAATATGTGACCCAATGACTCGTTGTGCTCGCATGTACATTCGCAACTCGCATTGGTCAAACCTTTTGTGGCACTGCTGCTATCGCGGACCGCTTTAAACAGGACACTATTCTTCAGCTTTTATGGCCCTTATATACAGCCGCGGAAATACATGTTCAGGGTGCTTGAGCTATATATTGCTTACGTTTTCACGAAACTCCTTTTGGATTGGGCGGCAATTCAACGGCTCTGTCAACGATTGAAGCCAGGTATCAAGGACTACAGCTTTTGAATGGATCACTGCCTTACCCACGATCACGGGCAGGTTTGCGCTAAGATGATCAACTGCTGAAGATTCAGTCTGAACCACTCGAAATGATTTGGAATATTGGTAAATCGGGAGGCTTGTTCAGTTGTTGGCGTGTTCGCCGAGCTGCGCAACTTGATTGCAAACCTTTCACCACCATTCTAGGTGGCATCTTCAATGCGGGATTGTTAGAAGTCAGGTAGAAGGAGCTGCTGTAATGCAAACCCAAAGATGGATGATATCAGTAGCTACTCCGTTCCTTATATAAGCATATGGGGCTCTTAAAATCGTCTCCTTCTGATTGTCTACTGTCTTGCTCGAGTCACTGCCATTGGCTGCGCAAATGTTGTTGCGACGTGCTTGGGGATGTTACACTCGGGTTGGTGCAGTGGGTGCAGGTGAACAGTCTGGGCTCACATTGACCATTCCGTTCCTTGTCTGGGTGTTGGATTTGGTTCTTTCGAACAGCGGTTGTTAATCCTCTTGAGCTCTGTCTGTCTTAGCGGTTAGTATATTGGATCAATGTCAAAATGCATGTTGGTTGAGTTCGTAGTTGAAAACCAGGTTTCGAGCAACACCCTTTTTGTGTTTCTTCTTGGGTCAAAATCTCTACTTTGTTCCACTCGAAAGCCGTGTCTCTTCCTTATCCACGTGTACTGAAACCAATGAGGTTGAGTAATCTTTCTTGCATGCTCTTTGGTGTTTTTGTATCCTTGTTGACAGCTTCTTTTATGTTTGTCCCACATAGTGCTTTTCACAATTTACGCAGTTTATTCTATATACGACATTCCGTCGGTCTAGTGTTTCTCACTTTCCTTTTGGCTTTAACAATGCTTTCTTCAGGGTCGCGATTAGCTTGAGGATACCATGATATTATGTTGTTTGAACAACCTGATAGTCATTTCAGATACTTTCTCTATGTACGGCAGAACTATACGTTCCGTCGTAGTTGAAGTAGTTTCGCTTTTTGAGCTCTTGCGGTTTAAGCATCTTCGGGGAAAACTACGGACTTTCCGCGTTCTCCTTTATATCTCCCATAATGGAAGTACGCTATAGTTGTATCGTTGTGAAGATAAAACCAGCGTTGTAACGCCCCACGAACCATTTGACCCGCGCTGCTTAGGTTGTTTCGGTGGGCATTGCCAACAGTCAACTCGATCGCCAGTTTTGATTTTGTGTGCTGCATCAACAGTTGCTGTCGCTGAGTTGGCTTCAACAGTGCAGCCGATGTTTTACCTAAAATACAACCAAGCCTTGAGATGCTCTTCATCTTACATCTTCCCTTCCAAGTAAACATCCAATCAAGTTACGTAATCTCATCCATCACACTCATCGAATCATTTCTAAAGTCGGCAAGCTTGTAGGACCTTGAGCGAGGAACAAGGTGCTTGGAAGACCTTTTTTAAATTGCTTAACATGATACTTGGCTGCATTGATTTACATACCTGTCAGCTCTAATCCCAATTGCAAACATTCTAATTTACTCTGCATATCTAAATGATCATTCACAAACACTACCAACTCGTCGATATAGGCCAAAGCACCTACATCCTTGTTGTCTAATCCGAATCCTTCCCTTAGTCACGTGTAACTGAAGACCTCTTTCATTACCGTGATAAAAAGCAGAGGTGAAGTTGGTTCACCTTGTCTTACATCACGACCACACTTCGTTCTTGTTACATCTGACAACACCTCAGGGTTTGCGTACAGTCGAGTGGTATAACGAACTAATGGCGGGCGTATCCATAACGAATGGCAGCACACACAGTCATGTGCGAAACGGTGCCAACTGCAACCACCAATCCTCTTGTTTCCGATCGAGCTGCTCAGATTATGCTCTGCAACGTATGGAAGACTTCTAGATATTCACCCTCTTCAGAAAGCCAAATTAAAAAGGTGAAGGAGGTAATGTAGCACCAACGTCTAGCGATCATTTTATGTGGTGCACCTACTATAATCGAGGCAACAACTATCTGTCTGTATTCTCCTAAGTGTGCAGGATTTACGAACTTAGGCACCAGTGAGGCGCTCGCCAGGGAGCGCAGTTGAAAATTTATGCCAGAATCACAAGAGTATGTAGACAAAGCAGTAACCGTGAACACATTGAGTCCCAGCGCCTTTTTCGGTTTGTGCTTAATAGTCACCTCTACCTCAGCTGATCCGATAGGCCTGAACAAGTCGCACCTTGGATCGCATGGCCTTGGCCTACTGTCAGCTTTGCTTAGTGGGCTAAATAGCTCTGCCCAGTGCGCCCGATAGTCCGGCGCACCATTACTACCAAACGTGTAGGCTACCCTCCGGATACCATCCAAAACGCACCTTACAGCAATCTGCGTCTAACAAAGCCTGTGTTACCCCTTGGGTTCACTAGGGATCTGTTTTCTGTGCTGTATAGGTACTCTGGTGTTCAGGAGAACCAAAACGCACCCATGGATTGTGAGTTACGTCGAGTCATTCCGAGGTAGGCGAATGGAAGATGTACATGGAGCCGTATGCATGAGCCTACCGTGATCTGAAAGTTGGTGTTAATACCTTTGCGGTCTGGCACTCACTTTTCCTAATAGCTTACAAGTGCTCACCAGAATCGTCCTAATCTACCTGTTAGCGATAAAGAAAATTTACTAAAAATATTCACCAGCCAGTTAACAAATTACTGAACGCATCGTTCCTTCCTTTCTTTACCTCATGCAGGATCAATTGCTACGATGTGTTCGACGCAGCCGCTCCCTTCGGTGGATACAAGTGGTCTGGTGTTGGTCGTGAATTGGGAGAATATGGCTTGGAGGCCTACACTGAGAAGAAGACGGTAAGTTTCTGAGTAAGATTTTCATCAACCGTTTTCGGAACAAACTGCAGTGGATACATAGGTATGCTATACTGAATAAGCTTCATAATCAACGATGTCACCGCACGCTTGCGTTTGCCTACACCTCCTATTGGCACGAAGTTTGTGACATTAGGGATAGGCCAGACCGACCGAGCTGATCTCAAGCAGCTGTCATGTGTTGGGTGCTTATCCTATCAGTAATAAGTGTATGTTAACTACGACCTTTATTCCAGTAGCCCATTACACCAGTTGATACCCACTTCGCGCAACCATCCCCTTGTAGTCAGTTACAGATGACGCACATCGGTGCAAGATTGCCCATGTGATCTACTTGCTTGAATTTGACGGCACATCGATGCGTGCCTGTACGACACATACTCCGCCGGTATCATGGACGCGCCTAACTGCTAAGTTATATACTCTGCACTAGAAGTAACCTTTGGAAACTGCGTTATCGAGCCGAATTAGGTGATTGGCTGTCCCTGAACCTTAAATAAGACGTTAAAGAAAACTTGTTTGTTTGGCTTAAAATATTCACTTCTCACAGATTTCTTTTGCTCTACTACCGTGGCTGAAACACGGTGGGTAATGCTGATAGGCAATTGGTTTCAAAGTGTACGTAATGCCGAGGTTGTAGCTGGCCAGAGAGCTTACGTCCATCGGAAGCATCATTAACAGACAAATATTGTCCCACTTCATCCGAATCACACGTCCAGGGATGGCTTCATCGCGTAAAGTAATTAAATAGAAGGTGGGAAAATGGGCTGCGCCAAGACTTGGATGAGCCTACTACGTCACCAACCTATCCTGAATCGACATAAGCAATCTAGACTTGGACTGTAGCCTCTAACCCACCAAAAGTATCTGGCATAAACGGGGGCTGTTGATGCAAAGAAATGCTTCTCAGTTACGCTTTCCCACCGTCGTGAAATGACAGTTACCAGCTAGTCTTCGATACCATGCGATCTGCTGAAGTAGCGACTCCACAAAACAGGTTATTGACCGTTCTCTATACCTTTGAAAGCGATCAAAAGATGTTTTGAACTCATTGAGGCGTCGGTCCTATCGTAATTTTATCCGTATTTCTCACAAGCATCATCCTACACCTACTCTCTGACCATCGTTAAAGGAGCATTATTGAAGACTGCTGGACTCCACCTTGGCTCAGGGCGCATTGACCAAACATCTACGCTTCGTCCGGCTATGTGACAGTAGCGCACCTGCAAGCTGATCTGCTATAATTGTCTTCTTTGATTTAGAGTCGTCTTGGATTCGGTTGATGACTCTTGTTTGTGGCCTCTTCCATCGGAGTAGCAAGTACTGAAGGAAAAGATGCATAATACGCTATTAATGAAGTTAGAACTGAAGTGCAGTAACACATCTGACGTTGGCCATCACTATATCCTGACCATCTCTTTAAATTGATCGTATTATTTTTCATTGATCGTGCGTTCACCATCGATCCAGACCTTTGTATATTGTCCAGGTAGAGACAAGACAAAGCTTCCGATATGTCAACATTTCGATTGTTCTCTTCAATCGCAAACACAATACAAGCAGTAACACACAAACGATTATCCACATGGGAAAATAAGCAACACCAAGCAAAACGTCACAGTCAAGAGCAAGGCAACCGAATTGATTGCCCCAAGAGTTTCTGTACACGTAGCACAGGTTGATGGGCCTTAATTAATAACGCCTCACTAATTGCCAATATTATCGTGTATTTTTGCGTAATAACACTGAACGCTGTCTCAGGGTTCACATGATGACGGGTTGCCACGAGGTACTTGGTGATAGACGATGCGAGGCTCCGATTAATTCTCAGACCCGTCCCATTTTGTTGCGTAATCACTTGTCCCAACCACTTTGGCTAACTGACGGTTTAGTCTGCCTATATAAATGTCACTGCAACCGCATGTGAACTGATAAACCACCTGAGAGGCCGAACTACCGGACGAGATGCTCTAAAGGTTATGAAGAACAAGTCGCAACTGGGTTGTCGTGTAGGAGCGCATTAGGGCGAACCGGAGCTGGTGTCCGATATCATTTGCCACATGGTTCCCCTTGAACGGCAAGAACAAACAAACATCCTTTTTCTCAGCTGTCAGCACCG